TCCTCCATATCCTGTTACCTTGGGTAGTTGATTCTCATACACACTGTGTTTCCCACCCTCCCTGGCCCTCCCCAACCCTCCCTAGCCCTCTATGACCCTTCCTGGCCCTCCATGACTCTCCATGACCCTATACAGTCCTCGATGACCCTCTCTGACCCTCCTCTACCCTCTGTGACCCTTCCTGACCCTCCATGACCCTCCACTCCTCACTGACTCCCTGACTGCCATGCCTCTCTCCTTTCCATCCATTTCTCCCTCGGGATCTGACTGGCTGCCTCTTCTGCCCCTGCTCAGGAGGCTCTAGGCAGCACCCAACTCCATCTAGGCTGTGAGTCTGAACCTCAGCTTCTCATTGCTGGGATCACTGGCCTTATACACCTGTGTCCCGATTCACCGGGGTTTCTTGGTGTGATCACAAGGAGGTGGGCTTCAGGGAAGCCAGCCATGCTGGGTCCATGTGTCCAGCCATGCATGGTTCATGCATCCAGCCATGCAGGGTCCACACATCCAGCCATGCAGGGTTCATGCATCCAGCCATGCAGGGTTCACGCATCCAACCATACAGGGTCCACATATCCAGCCATGCATGGTTCATGCATCCAGCCATGCAGGGTCCACACATCCAGCCATGCAGGGTTCATGCATCCAGCCATGCAGGGTCCACACATCCAGCCATGCAGGGTTCATGCATCCAGCCCCGGGCAGTGGCATTCCAGGCTACCCTGACCTGGTGCTTTTCCCTGCCTCCCAATCTCTCTCCAACATTCCAGCAGCAAATGCAGCTTGCTGTTCCTCCCTGCTCCACACTGTCCCTGGACTTGGCGGCCTCTTTCTGCCCTTAGCCAATGGACACCTGTCAGGACGCCCTCTTGTGCCCACAGATTCCCCAGTGGAGCTCTAAATACTACATGCTCTTCTGGGGCTGTATTCCAGGGAGCAGCCCAGCGTGTGTCTGTGTCCTGGTTTCATTTCTGTTGCTCTGATAAAACATCCGGACAAAAAGCAATTTAGGGCCTGAGCCTGGTGGCGCACCCCTTTAATCCCAGTGCCTGGGTGGTAGCAAGAGGATCTCTAGGAGTTCAAGACCAGCCTGGACCACATAGAGAGCTCCAGGCAAGCAATGGCTACATAGTGTCTCAAAAACAAACAAACAAAACAAAACAAAAACAATAGAAAGCCATGTAGGAAAAAGGTTTATTTTAACTTACAAATTCAGGTTCCATCATTTCAGGAAACTCACAACTGCGGAAACTCAAGCCAGCTGCTCAGACCATGTTCCAGAAGAACATAGAGCGATGACTGCAAGTGTGTCCATAATCTTCCACAGTCCAGGGCCCAAGCCGGAGAATGGCTCTGCTCACATGCAGGCTGGGGCTTCCTACATCTTTTAAGGCAAGCAAGATAATTCCCCATACACAAACTGTCTCATTGGGTATAGTGCTGGCTGAGTGCTTATGAGGACCAGAGTTCAAG